GGGCGGGAGGCCGGCCTGGCTGGGCGAGGCGGGCTTGCCGGGCCCCGCCGAGCTGCGGTGCGGCGTGTGCGGGCAGCCGTGCGCTTTCCTGCTGCAGCTTTACGCGCCCCTCCTGGACCGGCCCGACGCCTTCCACCGCAGCCTTTTCCTCTTCGGCTGCCGCCGGCCCTCCTGCTACCGCCTCGCCGGCCCCGCGCCGGGCTGCCTGAAAGGTAAGGGGGCGGCGGGGCGCCTGCCCTCCTTCCCTTCAAGGGCTGACGGTCTCGCCGAAAGGGTAGAGCCGGTGAGACGGAGAAGTCCGCTGGTGCCGGGGAAGGAAGCCCCACTGAATTTAGTGGGGTTCGTTCCCGAGCTCAGTGGGGTTTATTAACTAGGGAAATGCTTTTTATAACGAGAGTCAGTGTTGGTCCGTTGAACCGAGGATCGGTATGCCAACCATTCCGAACCCTGCAGATGTGGGGAACTACAGCTCCCATCATCCGTAGTCAACATGGTTGTAGATTGGGGCAGAAGCGACATGTGAGGGAAGCGCCCTGATTCTTAAAGAATGGATTCCTGGGTAAATAAAGATGAATAAGTGGGATGGAGGATGTCAGCGTAACTTGACTTCGACTGTGACAGAATTGTTGTGACAGCTGGATGGGATCCAAAGGGTCATGGAGTTTAACTCAGAAGTATGTCCTAGTTTCTCTTTCATGTAATAAGTCATTTCATATTTTTCCCCTCTTTCAAGTGCTTCGGAATCAGTTGCCAAGGAAGAATGACACCTACTCTTACGATCCACCACCTGAAGAGCCACCCGTGGAGCCGCCTTTGCCCTGTGGGAATCTGCAGCTGAAATGTGGCGCTAAGCTGTGCAGAGTCTGTGGGTGCTTGGCTCCCAAAAGGTGCTCCAAATGTCACAGCGCTCATTACTGCAGCCAGGATCACCAGATTAAGGACTGGAAAGCAGGACATAAAGTATCATGCTCACAGCCTGGTAAGTGGTTAGAAGTATGTTTGAATTGATACAGACGTTCTAAAGTAACACTCAAGGTGGTGGCTATGTGTTGTCAAGTGGGAACCAATTTACAGCAACCCTAATAGGGAAATGAGATACTTAAGGAGTGCTTTCACCAGTTTCACTCTCCCAGTGGGTTACCATGGCTGAGCAGGGATTCAAAGACAGGCCTCCTGAGTCTTAATCCATCACTCTATACACTATATCTACACTCAAGGTAGGGGTGGCAACTCCTTAGTCCTCCAAATGTTTTGGAGTCCCACAGTGTGTTCCCACAGGCCACATTAGATAGTTGCTGATAGTTGTCAGTTGACATATCAGGGTCCAGAGGTCCCTAGGCCTGACTCAAAGGATACATAAAAGGGAGGACACAATCTTATGAACAAGTAGCACTTGGCATGCAGATATTTTAACTATGTACCTCCTCTGAAATAGGTTTAAGATTCGGGTTTGGTAGGGCAAGTGGGGACTATAGTAAAGCTGTGGCTACTATGATAGTAGAAGCCCACCCTAGAGGAGGATTGTCACTGGAGAATTCTGATGTCACTCCACTCCCATCTACTGCAGTGGTTCTTAACCTTGGGTTACTCAGGTGTTTTTGAACTGCATCTCCCAGAAACCCCAGCCAGCACGGCTGGTGGTGAAGGCTTCTGGGAGTTGCAGTCCAAAAACACCTGAGTAACCCAAGATTAAAAACCACTGATCTACTGAACTGGTTAGAGCTGATGGGAGTTAGAGTCAATGACATTTACTGTAGAAGACCTTGATTTAAAAGTATTCTTCAAACCTCATGAGGTGGCTGCTGCTGCATCTGATGCATTATTTATTCATTCATTCATTCATTCAATTTATACCCCATCCCCCTAGGCAGCATCTACTCAGGACGGCTTACAAAATCGTAAAATATCATTAAATGACAATAAAACATCACAATTGAAATAAATGACATTCATAATCATAAAACATTTAAACAATAATATAATATGGTCAAGATGGGGAATGAAAGAACAGAAAGATAAAATTCAAGAATTTACAGGAGGGAAGGCCTGCCTGAAGAGCCAAGTTTTTAAATAAATCCAGTTGCTGGTTTCAGCTGGAATAGACATAATGAGTAAATGGTGAACTGTTAGTCAATGCTTACATAAAGGTCATTCATTCAGGGTTATTTTAGCTAGGGGTAGCCAAAGAATATAGGTTACTGTTCCTACTATGGCTTTCTTTTATCCACTATTTTGTTCTATATTTAAGTCTTATTTTAAATTGTGCCCCCAAGAAAGCGTTGTAAATACACCTGATGCAAAATATAAGAATGTGGAGAGCAATGTCCCAAAGCATACTGAATTTTGGTTTTTTAGATGCATTGAACAGTGTGATTCCAGATCACAATTTTCTTTTTCCGGAATATGAAATTGTAAGAGAGCCAGAGGAAATAGATGCCTTGAATATTAATGAAACAGAACAAGAAGATTTGGACAAGAATAAAGCAGCATCTACAGGTAATATTTAAGTAGTATGAGTGAACTTACACGTTCCAAAAGATCTTTTCAAATTAAACCTACTTTGATTCCCTACAAAAATACCCAATAATATGATGCACACATTATGGAAGTAAACAAGATCATAAAAGTAGGTGGAGTAGTAGTAACTATGGTTGTAAATACTATAGTTGTGCTACATGTACCCTTCTTTGCAGACAAGATTATGTTGGATTGAATACACACTGGTTTGGAAATTAAAATCACAGTCTTATAAATATGTTGTAATTTATTGCACAATGCTTTTGAAAACATACTGTGCAGTTCTTGCATGTCTACTCTGAAGTAAGGTAAAGGTAAAGGCTCCCCTTGACAATTTGTCCAGTTGTGTCCGATTCTAGGGGGCGGTGCTTATCTCCGTTTCCAACCCATAGAGCTAGCATTTGTCCAAAGACAGTCTTCCGTGGTCACGTGGCCAGCATGACTAGACACGGAGCGTCGTTACCTTCCCACCATGGTGGTACCTATTTATCTACTCGCATTTTGCATGCTTTCGAACTGCTAGGTTGGCGGGAGCTGGGACAAGCGACGGGTGCTCACTCCATCGCGTGGATTTGATCTTACAACTGCAGGTCTTCTGATCTTGCAGCACAGAGGCTTCGAATACACTCAGCCCCAGCATTTAAATGTTAAAAGTAGTAAGACATTGCAGTACTCAGATTCCAAGTCAGGCAGACTTTGCATCAACTCATACTGCAACTTTGAGAAAATAACCCTCCCTGTTTATAAGATGGTTTAAAGGTGGCAGTTGTTTGATTTTTTCAGATGAAACATTTGACTCTGTGGATGAGAATTTCTTGGAAGCAATGGCAAAACATGAAACTCAAGATGACAAGATTTTTCAAAAGTTTAAAGAGAGAATATCTTTGGATCCAGAACAGGTATTAAAATGGCGTTTTCCATAGCTTTTTAAGTATCAGAGTACAACATTTCCCCCTAATTCTGTTTTGTTATTAGGGGAATGCTTTAAGTGGCACAACCAGAATCCTGTCATATATGGATTTGTTACCCTAGTCACTGGACTTTCATGGTACCAAAGTACTTTGATGTGAGACAGTGACAGGAAATGTTGGCCTAATGAGATCTTGATATACCAATGAGCGTTAGGTGGTGAGGCTTAGTGTTGAAAGAAACGAATCTTTCATTAGAAGATAGGTCAGAAATAAGCCATCTGAAGAACATATGAATTGTGTTGGGTCAGGTCAAAGGCTGCTGTTTATCATATTGGGTTTGCTATATGTCAGCACATAACACCAGTCAAGACCTGCTGTTTTATCCCATGACTGCAAGTGTTATTCAGGAGCCTTTGGTTAGCAACTTTGTTAGCAACATTTGACAAAGCCCAAATGCACAAAATATATACTAGTTTGTTCTTTGGTTGGAAGAACAGTAATTTGCACCAATTCAAATGTGAACTCTCTAGTAAATACCCTTGGTCAGGGTAAATTTGATTTTAAATTTAAAGAATCAATTTTTTTACAATTTAAATTAAAAAGACTTTTAAAAAGTTAAATAATAACTTAAACCAATTTGATATTAAAAATCATTAACATTTATCAACCCTGCCACTGGTTTCAGTGATGTGTAAGTTCTTAATTTGTCAAATAAAAGACTATGTATTCTCTACTTGTCACTGATATTAGGCTCAGGTTTTCAAACATTCTTACCTACAGAAATTTACACAGCATTTTTCACAATTATGATGCAAACAAACTTATTTCATTTTTTCTGTAGTCCTCTTACCTTCCAAAATTTCAGTTGCCTGGTGTCTGGTTTCTGATATAATGAAGCAGTTTATTGTGGGACTTCATTAGCAACATGTTCTTTCATTGGAGAGGGATATAATCATGTTTTTATGCTTTTAGTTCTCCTACAGACTTCCACTGTCTTTCCTCCAATAACGTCTTTAACCATATGTAAGGATTATCCCCAGAGGTAGAAGCAGTTATGTCACTGGCATGAACACAAGTGCTAAAATTTTTACATCAGTTGTTGTTTGGATCAATGGTCTGTGTATTACCTAGGATGACAAGCTGTATATGGCAAATTCATTGCTCAATGTTTTTTTTGATCAAAGTCTAGAGAGGTGCATTTAACTGGTACAGTTTAAGTTAGTTGCCAGCGAGATTTGATTTCAAAATTAAGTATGCTAAACTGAGGTTGTTTTAGGGCCTCTCAATAAATTAATCTCCCAATGAATAATCCACGTTGAATTTCAGATTATCAGATACTGTAGAGATGGAGAAGGTCCCCTTTGGATTTCAGGGGAAAACATTCCTCAAGAGACAGATATTCCTGACTGTTTATGTGGCGCTAAACGAATATTTGAATTCCAGGTATGTAAATAGGGTTAATTATTATTTATTTATTTAAAACATGTATATGCCACCCTTCACCTAATGCATCCAAGGTGGCTTACACAAAAGAAACAAAGTTTAAAGCTAAATAATAAATTATTATAACACTAGAAAAGCATTAAACAGATACCATATTAAAACTCATAAATAAGAGCAATATTAAAAGTTCATGTAAAATAACAGAACAAAATAATCACTTTAAAAATTCCCCTTGATCATCCAGTCACTTAAAGGAAAGCCTACCCAAAGAGAAAGGTCTTTATCGGCTTGCGAAAAAACAGCAAAAATGGGGGAAATATGGCCTCTGTGGGATGGAATTCCGTAATCTGGAAGCAGCAACAGACAAGGCCGCCTTCCATGTCCCCACCAAACATGCCTATGAGGGTGATGGGACTGAGAAAAAGGGCCTCTTCCGATGATCTTAATACCATGATAGGCTCGTAAACTATCTTTTAGTTAGCTTGGACCCAGCCAACTAAGGCCTTTACAGATTAAAAGCAGCAGTTTGAATTGTGCCTAGAAACCCCAATTAATGATCTGGCAGTGGCATTTCAGATCTGCTGGAGTTTCCAACCACTTTCCAAAGGCAACTTCATGTAGAGGGCATTATAGTAATTCAGCTGAGATGTAACTAAGGCATGTGTCACTGGCCAGATCCGACCTCTCAAGGAATGAGTGCAGGTGACACACTAGTTTTAACTGTGCATAGGCAGTCTTAGCCACCACTGAAACCTGGGCTTTCAAGCTCGGACAAATCAGTGAACATCCCCAAGCTGCACACCTGTTTTCAGAGGGAGTGTAACCCCATCCAGCACAGGCTGCATCCCTATTTCTTCATCTGCCTTTCGGCTGACTAGGAGCACCCCTGTCTTGTCTAGATTAAGTTTCAATTTATTCACCCTCATCCATTTCATTACTGCCACCAGACACAGATCTAGAGCTGAAACAGCTTCTTCAGATATTATGGCAAGGAGAATTAGAGCTGGGTGTCATCCACATATGGCAACACTGAACCTCTCCCAGCGGATTCATCAGCAGTTTAATTAGCGAACATAGTATGCATAAAGAGCAGCAGATCTTAATAGCTGGCTTAAATTGTTTTCGGAAGTGACGTCTGGAATGCTCTTCAGTTCTGCTTTGAAGTCTTCAAATCTTTTGGAGGATTTGAATGATCTTGGGTGGGGAAACGCATGACCCTCTAGAGCAGATATTCCCAATCACCAGCCTATCCAGGAATGGGCTGTGGACACAGATCTCCTACCGCCCCCCCCACGAGCACGAGCTCTGCCCCCCTGCAGGCACGCCACACACACCAGTCCATGGTTAGGAAAAGGAGGCCACTGCTCTAGAGGTTGCTAGTTTTATATATCCCTCCTCATTGCCTGTGGTGGCTAGGCCTGATGGGACTTGCACTCCAAAAATAGCTGAAAGAGCATATTTTATCTACCCTGTTATAAACTTCAGTGGTGGAAAACAAATAGCATCCCAAATCTGAGCAATTTTACTCCAATGACTTGTTCAGCTAACTATATGCTATGTCATAAGAGTCTAGTGGAACCGAAATGGCTAACAGATTTTAAGTCTTGGGTGCCACAAGATTTGGTAGTTTTTGCTGTGACAGATTAACACTGTTTTTACCGCCTTTTCTAAATTAGCACAATATTGAATATTCTGTATTACAGTATTTGCTACTACTATAACAAAACCTGCAGAATAATATAGGTGTACTGGCTGATTGTTTTTTATTTCTTTAACAGAACTTTTTTTTCATCTTCATTGGAAGATTTAATGTAATGAGGTGTAATCATTCAGTTCTGGTATTATAGTACTGATTTCAAATGACCTGAAAGTTCTACTTGACCATATAACTCACTTTCTTCTGTGTGCCTAAGGTCATGCCACAGCTGCTGAATCACCTTAAAGTTGACAGCCTTGAAGAAAGCATTGACTGGGGAACACTGGCTATCTACACGTGTGCTAAGAGCTGTAATATGAGCAGCCATTACGTTGAAGAGTTCATCTGGAAGCAAGACATCTCTAGCTCAGTTTAATTTCTAGAATTAAACTTCTAACATTTAAACAGCAGGTTTGCATTCTTCAGTATCATACAATGTGTCATATACTCTATTTAAGAAGTCTTTAAGTGTGCAGCATCTCCATCAAGCAGCTAGGACAAAGGAAATGAACATTGTCCCATTAGTGAAAAGATAAGATAAGCAGTTTCACTGTAGTGAAAATTTTAACAGTCTCATGGCCAACATTTTTTTTCTTCAAGCCCCTGACTTAATTATGTCTGCCCATTGAGTATCAGCATCCAAAACTCTATAGGCTGATGAAGCGTGATGGGAAAAAAGGAGCACATACCTTGCACATTATTTTATTCATTAATTAATTCATTCCATTTATACCCTGCCTATCTGGTCATTTCGACCACTCTAGGCGTTTGTTTTAATATATTATTATTATTATTTATTTGATTTATACCCTGCTCATCTGGCCTAAAAGACCACTCTAGGCAGCATATATCATGCTGACTGCCCTGTCAGTGGGTAAACCTCACACTTGTAAGCTGACTTGTTACTTGAACCCCATGATCCACAGAACATTGGATGCAAGACACCTGAACCTATCAGGTTGGTACTGACTGACACACAGTAGTACCCTGTCTGACACACAGACTCCCACTCAAGCTTCTTCTCTCAGCTCTTCTCCAGCTTCTCCTAACTTCTCCACACACGCTCCACATATATATACAGTACAGCCCCTCCTCCTGATGTCCCGCCTTCCACTCCCCATAGGATGGAACTTTCCCTCCAAACCCATGACAGACAGGTAACATCAGTGCTGTATGTAACAGACGTGGGTACCTATAGTCCTCTGTATGTGTCTTGTATGCATGCACGTTAGCCCTGAGCACCAAAGAGTGCTAAGGGGCTATAGGAGTTTCAGTTCAGAACTAGAAGACCACAAATGACCACTCTTTAGAACAAATATTGGGAGTTCTTTCAGTGTTCAGAACTGAAATTAATTATTTTTCAAACCAGATCCATCCATAATTTTAACAGCCTGGTTTAGAGTGGGAGATGAGCAGTACTGTCATTCCTGTTCAACAACTGAGAAAATTAAGGAACCTTTGTGGATCTGATGCTGATTGAACTCAGGGACTTTTGGATAGATCCTAATCTACGTTCTGCCCACACATGCTTGTATGCTTCCCTAACCTTTGAGAGTAAAAGCCTTGTCAAAGCCAAGTTTTACATCCCCAGAAACACTACTTCCATCAGTGAGAAGAAACAATAAGACATCAAATTCATTCTTTGGGAAAAGTTCTTATAAGTCAGATATCATCCTTCTGACCACAGTAAGCAGAAAAATGAATAAATTCGGCTTGTCCAGAACTGCTGGCAGCCTTTGATGTTGAGGCTACCAGGTTTGAATAGTAACACTATACTGCTTCCAGTGCAGGTTCTCCTGACTGTCTAGGAGAGCATGCATCTCATTCAAGTGCATTAAATTGACACCTTGCCATTAGATGCACATCCTAGTTGATGAAATGAGACCTAGAGAAACAAATATGGAGCTAGTCCACTTGCATGGCACCTTTGGTCTAGATATATTTATTTATTTATTTATTGGACTTGTATACCGCCCCATAGCGCTACAAGCACTCTCCGGGCGGTTTACAATTTTAATTATACAGGCTACACATTGCCCCCCCAGCAAGCTGGGTACTCATTTTACCGACCTCGGAAGGATGGAAGGCTGAGTCAACCTTGAGCCGGCTACCTGGGATTTGAACCCCAGGTCGTGAGCACAGTTTTAGCTGCAGTACAGCATTTTAACCACTGCGCCACGAGGCCAATAATTGAGAAGCAGAGTGAACATTTACAGAAAAAAACCCATAAAATAGCAGGAAAGGATTGTGTCAGATTAATTATCCGTGGCAGCGCTAAAAAAGTTAAAACTGCTTAAGAAATACACAGTAAATTGAAATTTTCCTTCCGGATCAAAAGCTGTATTCTCCAGCGCCTCTATATTTAGTGAAGGAGCATGTTTGCCCTCTTCTACACCATCAAGATATCAAGTAAGGAGAATTGATAACAAATTAACCGTTTAAAAATCCTTATCTGCAAAATACATGGGGTGCAAATCTGCTCTTTTTGTCCACATGAATTGACAAGACCTAAACTAAGTATATACTAAATTTGTTTACTATAGTACTTTAAGAAACACAGACACTGTTTAAATGACAAAACACATTCCTTTAATACTGGATTGTTAAGAAAAATCTTATAAAAACAGTTCAATACATTGAAGCTACAGGCATGCGTTTAATACATTAAAACAGCAGCATAAGCAAATCAATTGATAAAGTGATACTATTTCAGATTTAATTCTCAAGTTTCATAATCAGCATTAATTACACATTTAGAACTCCAACTGCTCCCCAAATTAGGACTATATACAGGCATTTCTTTTCAATAGCAAGTTACTGTCCTGCTGAACACTGGCAAAGGGAATGTGAAAGAACAGCTGAAAGACTAGAATTACATTTTCCAATTATAAAACTTCTGGTTAAAAGAATACTATAACCAAAAAATTTTAACTTTTGGATAACACAGTTTAATTTGCCGGCATGAGACCCAGATTTTTTTTAAAAAAGGGAAACAAAGCAGTTAAAACTTTAAAAGCTAAACATATAAATAAACTGGCTTGTTTCTCAAAGGAGAGTGCAACGAAGCAACTCACAGTAGTTCAGTACAGATATAACACGCAATGAGGATTTCCCTTTCCAAAAAGATCCAGGGAAATAGGCACTAACTGGGAAAATACTCCCAAGTCCTGATGTTGCAAGTCTGTACATCTCCTTTTACTGCTGTGTCATAATACCTTTTAAAGTGTGCCCCAATTTCCTAGATAAGCACAAGAACCTGTTACGTTGTCTTTCTGAATCCCTTTAAAATAGGATATATATTTTCAAACGCTTCATAAATTTCAGCTCTGACTTTTGCACCTAGAAGACAAAGGTTAAAACTAATGTAACTATTTTCTATAAACACTGGACATTATTGCTGGTTTCTTCCTCATTATATGACACGTAGTTGCTAGAGTGCAGACTTTATGCTACATGGCTTCACTAGGGACTTTTTAATAGTCCCATCAGGGTTTTCTGCCTGAAAATGTCCAATTCCTCTCCCACAAGCTTCTAGGAATGGCCATTATACTCTGGAAGAAGGTGCAAGGCTTCCCCACCCTTTGCCTTGTGCAGCCATAATCTCCTTAACATCTGGCCACAACAAAAGCTCAAAACTACACAATGCCAAAGCTAATACATTAACAAATTGGACTGCCATTAATTTTACAATCTCAGTAATCAGTGTTTGTAAGACTTACCAGTAAGAACTACCTTCCCAGAAACAAATATAAGCAGGACAATTCTTGGTTTGATCATTCGGTAAATTAAGCCAGGAAATAACTCTGGCTCATAACTGTAAGAAAAGATAAACAAGAAGGTAAAATGTATAAACATAGTAGCTAATATGAGTTGATGGGGTATTAAAAAAATGAAAACAAACATTCAACTGTCACAAGCTGATTTTTTTTGGTTACATTAAACCTTTTAATATTTCAAAAGATACGTTTCAAGCCAAATATACAAGATTACAACAGTAATTATGAAATGTGGTTCAAGCTGCTTCACTCTTCCCCGTTAAGAACTTTGTACACAGATTTGGGGCATTTAAAAGTATGTCTATATAGTGCAAAAGTGAATTGCAGACTTCGATTGCGACTCAGCTAGCAACTCCTTTGATTAAGCAACTACTGATGGGAATCTAAAGGTTAGTCCCAATTGGAGTGGACCCACTGAATGATGGAGAACATGCGTTGACTCACATTCAGCAGTTGATTCAGTAAATCTAATCCAACTGGGACTAGCTACTGGATTTTGACTCATGAGGTATTTAAGTATCTCTTCTAAACAGAGGACAGTTTGCTATATTGACAAAGGGATGACAGTGACCCACAGCCAAATCTACTTTACCTTCATGGAGTTCAGGATATGATGGAAGACATAAGATCAGGTCTGTTAAGCAGACAAAAACAGGAGACATAATGCTTTTATCCAACATACAACAACCATAACCAAAAAACCCTTTACTTACCTACTAAACTGTTGATGTGTGAGGACCAGTCCCTCAAGCCGGATAGGAAATTTTACATCACAGCTGCCCACCATATTCTGAATCTTAAAATCCAAAAATTTGGCTGGAAAGCCCAACTTCTGCACAACTCTAGCATACTTTCTGGCTGCTAGCCTGGATTGCTCCTCACTGCAATAAATAAAAGCAGAATCGTAACTTTACCAAGCAAATACAAATAATGTTCATATGACAAACCTGATTGTTAGTTAGATAGTAACCCATGTCTTAAGAAAAGGTCAGTTATACTAAATACATACCTTTTAGCTCCTGTACACACCATCTTCCCAGAGCTAAATATGAGAGCTGTAGTTCGTGGCTCTCTTATTCTCATAATTACAGCAGCGAAACGCTAAACATATAGAGGAAAATGTAGTTACTAAAACAATCCCAGAATATATTAACAAGTAGTTTTTCAAGCTGCAGAATCCACCTCCATACTACAATTTATTCTTCAGTCACACACACATACACTTTTTAAAGCATCTTTGTCAGTGTGAGTCTTTCCTTGGACTACAATGCTGTCATCTTCAACAGGCATGCCCAGCAGTGTCACTTTGCAAATCTGATCCCAAGTGTCCACATGGGATAAAAAGAGAGGACTTGCTTTGACAGCTCATTACAATCAGAATTTTAAAGCTTGGTCATCAAGTACAATCTCTGCCAATGCAGGAAATCTACAACAGATGGCCATCCAACCTCTGTTTGACAACTACCAGTAAAGAAGAGACCATGACCTTCAAGACAGGTAATTTCACTGCTCAATAGCTCTTACTGCCAAGAAATTATTCTTACAATTTACTCAAAATCTCCTTGTAATTTGAATCCACTAGTGTGGGTCCTAGCCTCTGCAGCTATGGAAAAAAAGCATGCTCTATCTTCCAAATGATGCAAGTTTACTTTTGGAGTTCAAAAACATGGAACACATGCTAACTGGGGCAAACAAAAATCTTCTCCTTTACAAGGGAAACATGGGATCAAGCATCATGAGCGTTTTAAAATGAACTTACAAATATGAAGCGTTATACTGCTTTTCCAGCTGCTGTAAAATGTATTCCTGATTCATGGGCTCAAAAGTAAAAAATAATCATGACTATCTTCCTTAGAGTAGAAACGACAAAGGAAAGGTCAAGCAGGAAAACTGCTGAAGAAAGTCCAGTGCTGGTAAACATTAGTTTACCATTTGATATGGCGATGCATTTTAAGCATTTACACAATCAAAACAATTGATAAGCTAGCAAACACTGTAGCACTGGAACAGCATGAAAACTGCATCAAAGCAGCACCTTTAAGACTTTCTGGCTTGCTTGAAAACCGATTCTCTGATGCCTGAACAGTCTTTAAATACTGGGGAATGAAAAAGAAACAGTCTCCAATGATGTGAAAAGAAATATTCCAGGAAGCAAAAATATTTGATACAAGACTTTCTTATGCAATTAAGACACACAACTGAAATTTAAAACCAATTCTAGGAAAAACTGACTAAGAACTAAATTGCTGTTGCAAAGTTGGAGAAGTGCCTGGGAAGTGCCTGGGAAACTGCACAGCCAATGTGCTGCAAATTTTCAAGGCCTTTTTTTTTTAAAATCCTTTTTCTGAATGTTGCGGGAGGTTCCATGTTGCCCAATCTTGCTCTTTACCTTTGACAAAAGGGTCAGAATTCTGTGGAATCCAGGCATTGTAAGCCAGCAATTGAGTAAGCAGTATGCACAATCTGTGCTGGCTTGGGCACACTACAGAAGTGGTTAACAACCTTGGGTAACCCAAGTATTCTTGGACTGCATCTCTGAGAAATCCGAACCAGCACAGCTAGTAGAGGAGGCTTCTGGGAATTGCAGTCCAGGAACACCTGGGTTACTTAAGGCTGGGAACCACTGCACTAGAACACGTGACAGACAGAGAGCCAAATACAAAAATTGCTTGTGTGATTGTCCTTATGTATGCAGCTTTTCACAGGATTTTGGCCAAGAAATTTATCATGTGCACAGAAATTGATTATTTTTATAGGGAATGGTTATTATTATTATAAACTGCCTTGAACTGGAAAAGGCAGATTACAAAACAAACAACACTGTTTATAAAAATTCCTTCACACTCAGTGAAAAACTAAGTACTCTTAGCACACACATTTCTCACCTATTTATTATTTTTTTTTCATCCTTACTTTAAAAAAAAGGTTAGTGGCAAACTGTTACCCAAACTTGGATGCTGGCTTCCCTCCAATTCTTGTTTTCTCTTTATTATGTTAGGCACAACCCATATTACAGTTTATGTATTTGCACAGCAAATCTTGATTACATTGAGAGTTTTCCAATATCACCCCCTTTAAGGCTGCTATTACAACTTTAGAGCTGTTTTTAAAAACCTGTTACTCTGAATCTACACAAGGAAATCACCCGTTCAATTTCAGTTAAAGACGAACTAAAGGAGTCAGGTGTTGATGCCACATGAGACATCAGAAAGGTCAAGTGACCATTTTAAGAAAAATATCACCATCTCTATTCCATCGTCCCTTACCTTTGGGTTGTACTCAGCATTTCGAGCACGAAGGGCAATGGTTTTTAGGTCAAGTTTGCAACCAAGGTTTACTGTAGACACAATATTCCTAAAGACAATTTAAGAGACACATGTTAGCAGCCTACATATCCATCTTATTTTGAAGTTACCTTTCATTCTGTAACTTCATTTGAACCAAATAAGAACCCCAGGCGTATTCTGTCTCATCAACTTTTCCATTCCCATGCACCAAAGCCTGCTAAATGATTATGGTGATTATGAACACATCCATTACAAGACCACGGTTGCAGTATTAATAGAGAACAAAGTTAAGGAAAACAGTTGGGAATTCTTTTTAAAAAATAAATAAACAAAAAAGGAAGCAAGATTATACTATTTCAATTAATGTTCACCCCTTCCAACTAAAGAACTGCAAAGTCTGAATGAATTGCAGTAGGTGTGAAATGTAATCCAGTAGTATGTTTCTCCAAAAGTCCAGCACAATACATTCCTACAATGAAACAAAAGTCTATTATCTAACAAGTTTCAAGTGCAGCTCTCATGTTATTTTTTTTCTCAAATACATATATAAATGCAGTGATGCATTGCTAATTCCACACATTTTTAACTTTTAGCTGCTGGCTAAAACCGATAGGTAGATTTTGGCCTACTGGAACAGCTGACTAATACAAACAAGAAACATATTACTCTTCAGAACCACTGTTGAGGGATAGCAGAAGACAATGCATACGTACTGGAGCTGTGGCACAATCCCAGAGCTTTCAGAGGCAGGTGTTGCAGGCGTTATTGGGGTCATGGGTGTCATTGGTGAGGTGTAGAGTGGTGTAGTTCCAGGTAAAGGAGCGGTAGTAAGCGTCTGCGAATGAAAGAGCTGTGGTGTCTGTCCAGATGACCCCTGCGTGGGTTGTGATGTGGACTGCTGCGCTGCTGCCTGTTGTTGTTGTTGTTGCTGCTGCCTCTGCTGTTCTTCCAGAATAGATAAACTGTTGGTGCTTTGAACAGGTTGGGGTGTGAGCCCTGTGCCATAAGGCATCATGGGACTAAAAAGAGGGATGCCAGGAGTCATTGCACTCTGCAAGAAAAGAACATGCTATAAGCTACAAACATTTCAGAACCATCACAAATAGGATGAAGTATCTGTTGGATCACCTTTAAGAAGAGTTGCCTTTATTTACACTTTGTGCAATGCAGATGCAACACAACCACTTGAAAGTAAGCCACCTTGGGCAATGAATCTTGCCTCTAGTAAAAATGCATAAAATGAGTATACTGCCATGAGCATTCACTAAGTCATCTTCCTACTTTTTTTTAACCCTCAACTCGTTAGAGCAGGACTCATTTATATTTAAATAAGTATAACTTTTTCAACATTAAAAACAGACAACCAAAGATGGATTTTTCTAATTATGCTTTCACTGGCACAGGGAGTTTTTAAATCAGCCATTCCTGAACGACAGCTAGCTTTAACATGGTCTCTTCCAAATTACAATTGGCACATACATCTCTAAATATCAATTTTGAGAGTCAGTAACAGTAAAAATTGTCCTGCCTTCTTCCATTTGGTTTCTATATCCCTTCTCTGGGGGCATATAATTCTACTGTCTCAGCATCAGAATAATTTACAATGCAATCCCAAGCCTGGTTACTGTTACATCAGTTCTGCTGAGTTTACTGGCATTTACTCCCAGGTAAGTATCTCCACAATTACTATCTAAATAAATGCAAATATCCCAATACAGACAGAGGCAGAATTACTTAATGCTGGAGCAAGACAATTAATAACTAAAATCAAACGGGGGTAAAACCTAGATGATTGAATAAGCTGGCCAACAGCCATGCATGGATATTTTGGGTTCACAAGACTCTTTATTCAAAGTTCATTTCTCACTGCACATTAGTGTCTCTCCCCAACTCCACATGTAAGGATTCAGAACTTTAAACAAGCAAAGAATTGGCTTTAAAAGTTTTGCTTCTCTATAAGCTCCATGTTCCCACATCTTTACCTGAGGAGATGCTAACCCCTGGGCATAGGGTGGTATACTATTGTTCTGATCCATGACAACAGTCTGTCACTTCTCCAATCAGGTGAATGAGTATTCCAAGAAATCCAGTTGAGAAAAGAAATTTCACAGCATTTGCCTTAAAGGAGTTTTCCTCCCAACAATTAGCTACGCAGCCAAGTTTGACATATTGAGGCGAACATCAGCTTCCACACATCCAAAGCAAGGATCCAAAACCTGAAAGAAAGAAAGCCACATTACATGAATATCCTGCAGTAAAATGCATACAATACCTCTGTGTTGCACAGCCAGTCATAAACTACACTTTCCATTGATTAGATCAGGCTACCAGGTGAGCTCTCTCTTCCAATGTCACATGGATGGGATTTGAGTTCATTTAATAAAAGCAGCTCTAGCCAAGCACATCTTCAAAAGAACTCTTGTATGCCAGTCATAACATGGCAGCACCAACAACTTGATCTCCCAGACAACATAATTGACTAAGATATATATTTTAGACTCATGTTTTATATATTGTTAAAAACAAAAACAAAAAAATCACATTTTAGGCGGTATCATAAATAATACACATGAAGAGAATTAACTGTTTTGTTTCTGAGTTTTTTAAAAAATAAGGAACGGAAGGACGACAACATCTATCAGTACAATTTCTCAAGCAAAACTGCTTAACTTGGAAGGAAGAGAGCAATACAGTATCTATATAAATATTGTAACTTGTTTCTTTTTTTGCAACAGTAATATTGCAACTTTTAAAACTTTCACAGTTAAGAAGCTTATGAAGTGACAGCAAATGAGGCTATTTTTATCCTTTGCAACACAATTCCCAGAAGATAGCTCAGTTTCTACAAATTTTGCTGAACATTATTTATACTGTTTTCCCCAAAAATAAGACCTAACCTGAAAATAAGCCCTAGTATGATTTTTCAGGATGCTCATAATATAAGCCCTACCCCAAAAATAAGCCCCAGTTAAGTGAAACCCTGCCCTCCACCATTGTGCAACAACCAGAAGAAGATGACATGACTGTACTGTATTTGAATAAATGTAGATTGTTGTACATGAAAAAAAAATCCCCTGAAAATAAGCCCTAATGCATTTTTGGAGCAAAAATTAATATAAGGCCCTGTCTTATTTTCAGGGAAACACGGTAGTACTGATACTTTAAGAAGGTTCTGGCTACTAATAATGGCAAACTAATACATTTCAAATATTGTTTCCAGATGTTTGAGGGTTATTTTACTAACAAGAACTAGCACGTAGGGGGATCCATTTTGGATTTTATTAATGACAAGTTTATTACAATTATATTACTAAAGGTTTAAAATATTCACATTATAAAGGAAAGCAAAGATATTAGTTCTAAATAGTTTAGCAAGAAATAGTATTTCTGGAGTGCTTTTTGGCATAAAAGAATGAAGTCTTAATAGTCTACAAGGAAAGCTGACAGTTAAGTAGCAGTTTTTCTGTACTATTCTGGGAGGGCTGTTCGGCTGAGAGATGTGATCTAGAGCAATGGTTCTCAAACTGGGGTCCTCAGATGTTCTTGGACTGTAATTCTCAGAAGCCTTCACCACTTGCTGTGCTGGCCAGGATTTCTAGGAGCTGTAGTCCAAGAATATCTGGGGACCCCAGTTTGAGAACTGCTGATCTAGTGCAGGAGGACATGCGGATGTCTAGCTGTTGTTCGACTATATCCCCCATTATTCTTCACGAGTGGTTATGCTGATTAGTCTTGATAAGAACTGTATTACCACAACATCTGAAGGTTTATGTATTGCCCGCCCACCTTGTCCTAGATGATAAAATATCACTTTCCAAAATCTGAATGTACCTGTATCTTTTTTGTGTAGCGATTACCTGACAATATCTACCTGTTCTAAATCAAACTTCTATAAAATTAAAAAAAGAAACCTCAAACATTGCAAAGCAGTCAAATAGAAAATGTATACTGTATTCAGTTATATATTAGTGATAATCAACTCCTATATCCCAAGCTTTCTGATACACGTATAGTTCCTTACACACAATTTCTTGCTCATCAATTGATAAAAGGCTTGAGTATACTTTAGACCTAGAACAATAATGTTCAGTTTCTTCAACCTCCACATAACCATCCTGAGTGATGAGCTTGAATTTAAGATTCCCACAACAGACATCATTCAGGGCAGCTAGCCCAGTAGTTTTACATTAGGCAGCATTCAATAGAAATCCCCTTCTTTTTTTCTTTTTCACTAATTTTTACTTATTTACATCTCTAGCCATCAGTTGTACTTATTAAACATCTACAAAAGGCATTTCTCAGAGTACAAACTATCCATCCTATATGGTTAAGTACAAACTAACAGGGCAAGATGAATACTCAGAAGCAACCTACTGCAAGACTAACCCAGAAAACCAAAAAAGCCCTAGTTGTCTCAATCAGTCCACTAATTGGACTGCTCATGGATCTTTATCTTGAACCTATTCTTGACAAGAATACTTCATTCTTCCAAACTCTAATTGGTAAGCCTATACTTGAGACCAAAAGACCACACTGCAAGTATCTATACAGAGATTTCTCTAAGTAGGCATGCTTCAGTCTCAAGAGACTATGGTAATGTGCTCTGAATAGAGGTCTTTGAACAGCGTCTAGTGTAGCTGAGAAGGCCAATTCAACAGTGACAATCCCTTCCACACTGAAGACAAATACAATTTGTCTCCTGTCCAGCTCCCTGGTTTTGCTGGTTTTGGGACTGCTTATATGCCTCGTCGTACTGAACAAGTGTCTCTTCAAACCTCGTCAAGGTTTCCCCATCTGTTGAGGTCCATTCCTAAGGCCTTCAGGTCCCACTTGCAGATATCCTTGTATCGCAGCTGTGGTCTCCCTCTGGGGTGCTAAAGACCTGGCTCTTCAGGCAAGCCTTCCCTCCTGTCAATATCTAATTTAAATAATTCTCTGTATAGATTTTTTTGAATCCGACCATCAATTATACTCATGACATGCCCAAGCCAATGTAGACATCACTGTTTCAATAATGTATACATGCTAAAAATTCCATCTTGTTCTAGGACTACTCTATTTGGAACTTTGTCCTGCCAGGTGATGCCAAAAATGCATTGGGAGACAATGTTGAGTATATGGAAAGTGTTCAGCTTCCTCTCCTGCCATGCACAAAGGGTCCAGAACTCAATGCAGTACAGGAGTGTACTCAGGACACAGGCTCTATAGACCTGGATCTTGGTATATGCCATCAGCTTTTTGTTAAGCCATACTCTCTTTGTGAGTCTAGAGAACATGGTAGCTGCTCTGCCAATGTGTTTATCCAGCTCGACATCTAGAGAGAGTGTGTCAGAGATCATTGAGCCAAGGTACACGAAATCATGAACAACCTCTAATTCCTGTGTAGAGATGGTAATAGAGGGAGGTGAGTCCATGCCCTGGCCCATGTATTGTGTTTTCTTCAGGCTGATTGTTAGTCCAAAGTCTTGGCAGGCCTTGCTAAAACGATTCATGAGTTGTTGGAGGTCTTCAGCAGAGTGAGCAACAACAGCTGCATCATTGGCAAAGAGGAAGTCCCATATGCATTTCAGCTGGACTCTGGTCTTCGCTCTCAATCTTGAGAGATTAAAGAGCTTTCCATCTGGTCTAGTCCGGAGATAAATGCCGTCCGTCGTGGTTCCAAAAGCGTACTTCAGCATGGCAGCAAAAAAGATTCCAAACAGAGTCGGTGCAAGGACACAGCCCTGTTTCACTCCGCTTCGGATGTCAAAGGGATCTGATGCTGAGCCATCAAAAACTACAGTGCCCTTCATTCCCTCATGAAAGGACCTGATGATGTTAAGAAGCCAAGGGGGACATCCAATCTTGGGAAGTATTTTAAAAAGGCCGTCCTTGCTAACCAAATCAAAGGCCTTTGTGAGATCTATGAAGGCCACAATGAGTGGCAGTCGTTCTTCCCTACATTCCTACTGGAACTGTCTGAAGGAAAATATGATGTTGATGGTGGATCTATTGGCTCAAAATCCACACTGTGATTCTAGACAGACCAAGGGGGACATCCAATCTTGGGAAGTATTTTAAAAAGGCCGTCCTTGCTAACCAAATCAAAGGCCTTTGTGAGATCTATGAAGGCCACAATGAGTGGCAGTCGTTCTTCCCTACATTCCTACTGGAACTGTCTGAAGGAAAATATGATGTTGATGGTGGATCTATTGGCTCAAAATCCACACTGTGATTCTAGACAGACTGTCTGCAAGCACCTGGAGCCTCTCCAGCACAACACGGGCAAGCAACTTCCCTACAACGCTGAGAAGAGAGATACCACAGTAGTTGTTGCAGTCGTCCCTGTCTCCTTTGTTCTTATACAATGTGATGTTTGCATCCTTTATGTCCTGTGGTTCTCCACCTTCCCTCCAGCAAAGACAAAAGATCTCATACAGCTCAGTGGTGATGAGCTCTTTACAGCACTTCAACAGGGATGTTATCCTTCCCAGGTGCCTTGTTGGAGGGTAGGGAATCCAAAGCCACTTTTATTTCTGCTAAAGTTGGTTTGCTATCTTCACTCTTCCAAGACAGACAGGTACTCAATGTTATTTAATGCCTCTTCAGCTACTACATTCCCTCTAGAACAGCAGTTCCCAACCTTTTCGGGGACCATGGGCCAGCTGAGCCTCTGAGGAAGGCAGGGCACCCCCCTGCGCTCACACACGCTCTCAGGCACATGTGCTAAGTGGTGGGGGAGTGCGTGCGCACCAGCATGAACACTCCCCCAATACTTCACACATGTGCAGAAGTGCCTGCCCGCCCCTTCGCTCGAGCACATGCGTGAAGGGGTAGGGGAGTACTCACACTGGCGCTGGCACAAGTGTGTTTGTGCAAAGCAGCTGTGGGGAGTGGGAGGTCTGTATCAGCAGCCTAGTCCAGCTCAGGCTACAGACCACCACCGGGCCGCAGACAGGGGGTTGATGACCTCTGATCTAGAATATAGCTCAGAGTAGTGCTGCACCCAGCATTCCATCTGCTGTACTCGGTCCAGGATGATCACGCTTGTAGCAGACTTCAAGGGAGCAGATTGGACCTAAAGCCTGCTTGATACCCTTGATGTTACCCGTGTCCGCTGCTGTCTGTCTATGAGAGTAGAGCTGAAGTCAATAATCATTAGAACATCTCCTGGCAGTCTCTTGGACTTTGCTATGAGCAACTCGAAGAACCTGCAAGTTGTACTCACTAAGACAGGCTTTGTATGCTGTTAGAGCTCTCCTCTTTTCCGTGATGGCTGGCAGCAATTCCTCCGAATGGGCTTCGAACCAGTATGCCGTCTTTTTGATCCTCTTGCCAAATGTGGACAAGGCGGTGTTACTCTCTGAATATGCCACAAAATAACAAATGAACAAGTGTGTGCATCAAGACATTACTATCTTAATTTCACATGCACACCTACAAAAGACTGCACTAGGAGCACCTAAAACCACAGGCAATTCAAGAAACATTTGGGGCTTTCAGTGCATGGCTTTCAGTGAAACAACTCAATTTGTTGGTGGAATGGAGAAGAAAATCGGCAAATTCCATGCTAAGAATTACTAGGAGAAGACACACTGAACTGCTAACACATTGCTAACTACTGTATTAATCAGTCCTAAACTTATTTGCTAGGTAACTTGAACATATGCATTAAACACATGGATACAAAATTACTGTAGCAAACACTGGAAAAGTCCAAATTGCCTACTATCAGAAAAATCTGGCAAACAGTACAATAAATCTCATTAAGATTTTCAAAGCGGCAATTAACATACCCTCTAATTTTCAGCCCCGCTGGGCAGGGTTCTGCCTCTCTCATGCGTGACTTTGCCCTTGCATGTGCGCACAACTCTGCCTGCCCCCATGCACTGGGTTCCACTGCAACCAGAACCTCACATGATCACTGCATGGAGAAAGAAGACAGCTGCATGGAGGGAAGCGAAGCTGAGTTGTGTGCGTGGGTCCAGCTTAGTGGGAACCTTGGCAGCAATGTAAACAATAAGCAGACTAAATCAGAAATTAATACTTTTAATATAAACCGTTAAAAACCTGGCTTATTCACACCTAGCCAGTACCTAAACAATACCATTATTATTTTGTGGATTAAAACCTACAGGAGAAAAATATAATAGTCTAGTCAACTGTGAAAAAGTTCTAAACTGCCTAACGACACCTACATCTGCATTATTACTAAACTTTAGACCAAGCTCATTTTGAAGGCACCTGGAAAGCTGGTGGGAAGGAAGGTGCTACTACCTACCCTGGAATGCTGCCAGTTCCCAGAAGGCAACCATCTGGTTATCAAGAGATATGGGGAGTTAACCCAAGGTCATTATGAAACCATCTGAGATGGGAGCTGTACATACTTAGAATTCACAGCTGCATTCTTGTGTGAAATCAAAGCAGCTGCACTCAGAATTGCTTTTCTTTGGGAAGTTTCTGGTGGAAGCCTACAGGGATTGGCTGAGGAATCTCATCCAAGTTAGGCGCAAAAAAAAGTGTAAAAACGGTTGAGACCCATAGCACAAAGGGACTATGTGCCTTGAGGTTTCAGCACATTCTCCCAGTAAGAATTATTTTTTCTGTATGAACTCATAAATTTTTCTTTTCTAAGGTCCTCTCATTAAGCACAATAGGCTACATAATATTCTTAATTTTTTTTTCTTTTTTAACCTATTCATTATTGATAATTATGCAACACAAGCACTTGGTATTCATATCTCAGGATATGAAATATGGCCCAATCCCCACCTCAGAACCAGCGGGCCCACTCACTGGGCTCCACACAGCACTGAGATCCATCTTATGCAGTGTCGCACCAATCCTGGCAGGAGCCCGGCCAGCCCTTCCCCACTTCTCTATGCAACCAACCACTCATCGGCTGAGCAGGGAGTCCCCCTGTCCCACTTCCATGTCAAAGTGGTCTTCTGCACAGGGAAGCAGGGAACAGCCAGCCTGGCTCCTGCTGGGACTGGTGCGCTGCCACCAAAGATGGACCCCAATGCTCCAGAAAGCCTGGTGAGTGGGCCAGCTGATTCTGGGTAACTGCAGTGGTCTTATTTTGTATCCCAAGATACAAATACGAAGTGCCAGTGTGTAATTATTATTGTGATTTGGACTTTTCCCATTTATTGGAATCAACTTACAAATCCAAAAGAATTCTCTTTTCTGTAATTTGGCTTTCTTTTCTTTATTCCTAATTAAAATTGAAGTTTTCCACATCTGTTTTTCAGAAGGTGGTGTGGAATTGTATGGTCCTAAGTCCAGTGCTAAGGCCTTTGGATAGTTACTATATATACTTAAATTGGGCCATGGTCTTCCTTGTAGGGCTGATGTTAACTTTAAAAGGAAGAAAGTTGTTTGACTTGCTGATCCCAGGCCAGAAGCAGCAGTTGCTAGTTGACAGCCTTTCAGTATTTAGTTGTGACTAGCTAGATATGTCCAGGGCTTCAAAAGAACATGGGGTGGAATGAGATATATACACACCAAGACGCCTGCTGATGACAGCTACTGTTTTAGCAATTACCGTATTTTTCGCTCCATAAGACGCACCTTTCCATAAGACGCACCAAATTTTTAGAAGAAGAACACAGGAAAAAAATTATCTGCTTTCTTCTCCTAAAATTTGGTGAGCCTTATGGAGAGGTCCATCTTATGTGTGTTCCAGGACCCTTTGGAGCCTCCCCCTGCCTCCCTCGGAGGCCAGAGGGGGTG